TGCATAGGCCCAACCTCATCTGAACAACCAACCCCGGTTGTACAAATCAAACCTCCATACCAGGAATATACCATTCCAAACCAGGAGTCAATTTAATTGTCACAGTATTATCACCAATAATGAGTAATGTGAGACTAATCACGAAAAACATTGTTAGATCCACCCATAACCGCAGGCACGGCTATTCGAATAGTTTTACTCTGGCCAGAGATGTACCACTGTACCCACAAGACAGTTCCACAACATGTTACCATGCGCCTCAATACCACCACGGTACCTCGGAAAGGAACTGTGACAATACCCCTCGCACAACACAACTCACCACAGTGCACCATACCTGGATCATAATCACCCCCTCTACAACCAGAGGCATGGACTCCCCAGCAACACTCACGGACTTCTCGCCGCTTCTCAGTCTGGCACCCCATAATGAACTATGCTATACAAAAGGTAAAGCCGTTACCCATGTAGGCTTGTGGTTGGCACGGTAAATGTTTCACAACAGTAGCTCGCGAACCGGTCCTTAATTGTCATGAGCACGACCATCAAAACCATGTGCTCACAACCCACCTTTAATCATGTTTTAATTATCAATTAATTATCATAACACGATTAACCATCGTGAGCTACCATTAAATATAACCATAAGTAATAATGTAGTATGATTCATCCCATTAATGAGCTTATGTTTCTAAGCACGGCTAAGCAATTATATATATAGCATTTAGCTGAACCAATCCAATACATAAGGTTCAAGCTAATCAAACTATAACCCCTAGGAAAATAAAGTCATCTTCGGCCATTAATTAATTGGGAAAGGCTCACCACCCGATGACATTCAAAAATAATGCATAAGTTGAAATAAAACATTAGCTTTAAACGGATTCAACATGCTCAAAGGGTTGTTTGGGATCTGTGTGACTTGCCTTGAGCTTCTTCAAACACTTCTGAACCTTCCTCAACGTAAACGCTCTCCTCCGGAACGTCGGAAACTAAAGCAAATGAACAAAATCAATAAAACAGTACAAAAACAAGCATAAACAGTACATGTGGATATTTTTAACATGTTGATCTCGATTTTAGATGAATTTAGCAACTTGAACCACTCGAATCCGAGTTACGATGATTTAGTTATGAATTTCGTATGAAGGCCTTTGAAACAAATGATTGAATCATATCATATCCTTTGAAATTTAGGTGGTGTTTTTTTCTTCTGAAGATGAAGATTAAGTTTTTTACGCAAAACGAGGTGGTATTAACGTATGATTGATTGAGTTTTAATTGTTACAAACTTGAAAAATAAATTAATTTGATATTTTAGAGCAACTTTCGTATAGAAAATTTTCACACGAAACGCACCGTTTAGCAATTTGAAAAACGTGTCACGAAAATCTTAATATTCATCCAACTCTATATGGATGGACAATCCTATAGAGATTTTGTAGAAAATTTAGCAAGAGCTCCAACCTCTTGAAAATTTTCCTTTGAGTCTACATTTTTCATCCAATTCCTTCATTTTTCCTATGGTTCAATCAAATAACTATTTCTATGTTTTTCATACATTTTGCAAACCTCAAGTTTTGTATTTGAATTACTATCAGAATCCTACGTTTTTCCATTTCTACGATTCAAAGGTAACCTATATTTTATATATTTCCATAACTAATTCTTCAACTACATAATATCATTAAAAAGTTTTCTTGCACATGACTCATAACAGGATGATCATGGTCGTGCATGCACGACTTCATATACTAGTACTTGTTAGGAAACTTTCCATATGAGCAATATAGAAACATTCTATGTACATACTAATTGGGCCCACATCGAAACCTTCCGAATATGAAGTATGGCTATATAAGAGAGAGGTGTATGGCTATATAAGAGGGAGGTGGGCTGCTCATTGTTGTACACTTGTGGTTGAGGATGACAGAATGATGAATGAGAAGAAAGTCCCACCTTATATCTTTATGTCTCCACTTCTTATAGATATTATACAACCCCTCTGAAATACGGATGTAGCACAGGGGTTGCATAATAGTACTAATGAATCGAAGAAGATACATAGGACCAAATGATCTGAATAAGCTGCTGCCATACAGCAAGCATTTTGACTTTTAGCAAGCTGACATGAAAATCCCAACAGTGTCAGCCTAACAATTTCGGTATAATAATAAGCTCGAGCTTAAACTTAACCTAACCTTCTCTTTGTAGCCCTGAGACAATCAAGAGAGAGGAAGGGATAATTTAAAAATTGTGGGTTTCATAAGCATATTAACAAACAAAAACCTAAACTTCGATTAAATACGTACTCCAGTAAAGAAAACGGGACGTGCACCAATTTTCACTAGGCCACCTCCTTTCAAGCATCGGAATATGACAGTTTTCCTGTAAAAATTACACATAAACCTGGAATAAAGTAGCTTGTATTTCATTATTTATTTTTGTTGCCAGGGAGCAAAGCATGTCGGCTTGCTGCAATGAAGTACTCCCTCCATCCTATAAAGACTCCATTTTTCAGTTTTTATACAACGTTTGACTCTTTATTTTATTTAAAATTTTTCTATGATTAGTATTTTTATTTTTATTTTTATTAGATGATAAAACATGAATAATAATTTATGTGTGACTATTTTTTTTAAAAAAATTTAAATAAGACGGATGATCAAACGTTGGACACAGAAAATAATAATAAAAAAAGACTTCGTTGGACGGAGGGAATAGCAGTTTTTGGATCATCCTTGTTCAAAAAATTACCCTCACACGCTTAACACCGCAATTATGCACATGGGTGTGATTCAAACTAAGACGAGACGCATACATCGAAGTCAAATACACATTATACAGGTAAACAAGCTTACAGTCCTGTCCCCACCGAAAAAATGGGATCTTTGAGAAGCATAATGAGTTTGAGAAGGAGGGGATTGAGAAGATTGGGAAGATACGCAAAACGAGATAGATCATTAGCGTATGATTAATTGAGTATTAACTATTTTAAATTGCAAAAATGGATTAATATTGTCGACGGGGGATACCCGTAGACCGGATATAGAGGGCATTGGGGTACGCTGGTACGAGGATCTACGTAATACGACATCAAGCAAACAAAAGACAAGGATTATACTGGTTCAGGCCCCTTGGTAGGTAATAGCCCTAATCCAGTTGATATGGGATTATATAGTGGAAACTATAGATTACAAAGGGAATAACAGAACTCGGCGATACCGACGAGATCATAGTCGAGTTGGTTCGACTAGATCACCCGGCGACTTGGCTCTTGTAGGCTCTGGCTTCGTAGGCTGTGGTGGGTGTGTTGGCGGTAAGATTCAATGCCTTAGGTCCTGCTCGGGGGGTCCCTTTTATACCGCGGGTCAGTCGATCTCCAAGTAGGACTCAGGGATATCGGACCCCACACGATATGGTAACGACCCAGTTTTATTCGAGTAGGACTCCTTCCATCTATGGACTCCACTTCTATCACGTGATAGATTTCCTTAACGTACACAGGAAATATCCGTATACGCGCGGGTATACCATATCAGTATACAACGTATATTCAAGAATAGAGAGTATATTTTATCCGTAACCCTGACAAATATGATTTTTTAAAGCAACTTTCCTATAGAATTTTTTTTTTGCAAAAAAATGCACTGTTTAGTAGTTTAGGAAACGTGCATGCGGAAAACGAGATGTTTTCTCACCCAATGTCACTGGAACGAACGCACTAGTATCTTATCACTGAAAAATAAGCCTGTCATTTACATAACTATTGATCTGTGTGAACTACCATAAACTTACAAATGAGCCGTACTTTCTTCAAGGGAAATGGGATCTTTGATTAATCAATCTAGCCAGTAGCCACTGAAGCATTAGCCTGTCATTTACATAACTACTCCATTGATCTGTGTGAACTACCGTAAACTTAGAGCAAGTTTAACAGTGTAGCTAACTACTAGCTCCAATTAATCTATAGCTAATCTAATAGCTCATTAATACAATAGTTACATACTACACTATTAATATATGGTCCCACCTATCATACACACACTGCGTCTTGGAGTCCGTGCTACAGCTGGCTACAAATCTGTAGCCCGCTGCCCTTCTCTCTCCTTATTTATCTCTTTAAAATATGTTTGCAGCTGGCTTATAGCCTGCTATTGTACCTGCTCTTACAAATGAGCCGTACTTTCTTCCAAGGGAAATGAGCCGTACTTTCTTCCAAGGGAAAGTTACAATCAATAGTATTTAGAATTTTTGTTGGACTATTATCCTAGTTCCTATTCTCTCTTCAGTTCATAAACGTTCATCTTATTGTTTATTTCTACTTGAAATGAAAGACGTTATATTAGTTAGAATATTCCTACCTAATCAAGCGACAATCGAACTACTTAAGAAATATGGAGTGCATCCATTGGTTTGACTACTAGCACATACAAACAGGTTTGACTACTAGCACTTACAATTAAGAACCAACTACATTGGGGGAGATCATCATGTATAAGTTTTGGTCATGTTTATCTTTAGAATGTGAATCTGAAATATTCAGATTTGAATTCTGAAGTGCTCCTGATTCAAATGCCGATCAGGATCATGTGTTCTAATTATACCTGCAAGAAGCTACTTCTCAACTCTATCATAGTCAGAATGTACTGAGTTTTTCATCTATATGTTGTGCATATTTACAATCTGAAACTTAAACTGAGATATATTCAGATTCTGGAGTATGTCATGTGCTGAATCTGAAATACTAGCATATGATGTGCAATACAGTCCATCTGCCTAACGCTTAAAGTACCTTGCTCATCCATCAAAGTTTGTTCGCTGGTGTATCAGCCATACACTCAGCCTGATGTACTAGTTAACCTTGCTCTGAAATCTGAAGGTATAAATCCAACGAAACCTCCGGAGATCATATATAATGTATACTATACAGTACACTAAAAATATCAGCGAGTTGTAACATTCCACGTTAACAGTTTAGAGAACAAGAGGCATGCTGGTTGATGATCAAATGAGCAAAATTCCACGTATATCAGCATTCAGGCACTCTACAACCATACCCTCAGGCATGTGGATATTCAAATTAAAGAAATGATCTCGCTTTGATAGAATCACAAAATCTTCTGTTCCCCAAATCTAACTTCCATAACTCTCACATCCAAAAAAGGGACAAAAGGTCAAGAGAAGCAACAGGCCATTATCACTTAAATACAAAGTATTAATTCCAAAGATCCCTTTCTTCTGAGCCATGAAATCTTTGCATTGGCCACGTACTGTAAGCAGGAAGTATTAAAATGATAGAAAATGAGTGCATACGTAGAGTCTTGAGTTGCATTGACTTGACAGCCACCAGCTACGTAACTCTAACACTGTATAGCTCTTTTAGTGACCTGATTTCCACAGTTAAGTAACCGCCAATACCCCAAGCTGTGCCGTGAGAGTCCTGACACTCAAGGCATGGTGTACCCTTCTCAGTTACAAACGAAACAACACACAACGCGTGCGTCTTGGGTTTCCCATCATCATATGTGCAGATTCGGGCAGGATCATATTTGTAGACATGGCCTGACTTGCGGCACTCATCATAATTACGGCTGATGCGGATAACAGCCAGTAAAGGCCCTTGCCTGCGCAGCCGATGAAGAGCACTTCGAAGATGAATAATGTCCTTCACATGGTAGAGATTGAACTTCCATACCCTGCAAACTTTAGCATCTAAGGCTCGGAGATTCCCCTGAAAAACAAAACATAGTATGCTTAATATAGGCACCAGGCAATCACATTTTTTCTACATTATGTTTAGAAAATAGGCATAGAAGTGAATTAAACAAGGTACCTCACTATCATAGTCTTCATCCAAGTAAACCCCACCGTCTCTCTCTTTTAGACTTTTCAAAAGCCTCAGTACCTTTGTCTCATTGGTATTTGGTGCACTGATTTTTGATTGAGCATCTATAAATTGCAGGTGAGGTATGGAAAATTGATCGTTCCTTCCATGCTGAACTCTTACATTGGCCTCGAGAGTTGAAGCCATAGCAGAGAAGGTACAGCAGTCTGCAATTGGGAGTAATACAACAATAAGTTAAAGCAATGCATCATTACAAAATGAAAAAAAAACGCAACCTACATTTTCTAAGGGCAAAATTTGATGCACCATGTTCAGATTTCAATGGTCAGTGATTGTGATGTGATTAGATTTACATTTACAGTATAGGCTCTTTTTGAGTTTGATTTTGCACAACATGAGGTTATGTAGCTTTGTACTTTCTTCAGAAACCATATGGTAACGTGCTTGCAGTTCGTGCTTCGATCTTTTCGATAATGTATAAGTCATAGCATGCACTATGTAGCTAGCTTCAGTTCAGACTAGTCTACAAGCAACTGGGTTTCTCGGTACTAGAAAAATACAAGTGATTCATAGCTTTAATTGCTTTAGTTTATCAACGCTCTGTTGTCGTGAAAATCATTTTGCCTTAGGACAATCTTTTTTTTTTTGCCAAAAGACACTCCCAACCATTATTTTAATATATCCTCTTCTAATGGAGAGATAAAACTTTACAAAAGACGATTTTACCCTTAGCCACCTTGCAAGATCTGAGTTTGAATAAATATTGCTCAAAGAACCACAAAACTAAGAGTATCCTATAGGAAATGTCAAAAAGTTAGTCTAAAGAAAATTTTGCCCTTTTTAAGCGAAGAATCAGTTAAGTAAAATATAAAATCGTTTTGCATTATAATACAAAGAAGGACCAAGCAGAATCATGGTCTTCAATATTATAGTACATACCATGGTCCTGGCGTCTTATTTGGGAGAGAATTTTAAAGCCATAAGGCCCTTCTTCTGTTACTTGATTTTTCCAAGTCCACCTTTCCCGTGCTTCTTCGTATACAGAAACCATACTGAAAAAGTGAACAAACTATGAGTACATTAATATTGTGGGTAAATCTGTATCATCACATTATGATTAAAAAAAATAAAATCCTCCACGGACAGTCCTTAAACTTGGACAGAGGTGCCATCTAGGTCCATTAACTTGTAAAATGCACATCTATGTCCCTGATTTTGATTTAATGTATAACCCAAAGTCCAAAATGCAGATGACACCGCTCGGGCGCTGACGTAGTTGTCCACAGTGGCACAGATTTCACATTTAGGTCCCTCCGCTACAGTATACCCCCCAAATTGACTCTCACCACTTCCAAATTGACTCCTACCGCACCAGTGGGAGAGGAGATGAAGAGATAGTGATTATAGCTGTGGCGATTATCAGCAATCAAAGGTCCTGGAGGTCAAGATAAATAGCTTATTACGAAGTGGGTGATCCCGTGAGTCAGGTGTGGCATTTATTGTCGATGTGATCCTCCCACAATCTGAGGTCAAGGTGACAATCACACCATACTGGACTCACGGGATCACCCTCTCCCTATCGTACCATCTATCCCGGCTCCGAGGACCTCATATCGCTGATGATCAAATACTGCCTAATTGATGTCTCTTCGCCTCCTTCCCCACGGCCACGGGTATGGTGGAAGCGGTGGGGGGTCGGGGTGGGGCATATTGAGGTGGAGGGGTCTAAATGCAAAATACTGTAGTGGATAACTACGTCAGCACCCAAGCTATGTCGTATGTATTTTGGACCTTGGGAAAACATTAAACTGAGATTAGGGACCTAGATATGCATTTATACAAATCGATGAACCATATCTAGATATGCCATATGGCTGATCTTTCATTGTCGAAGAATGGAAGATCTCAAAGTCCTCCATATATCCTCGTCCAACTTTAAGGATCAGCCATGTATTTTACTCTATACTATGCAAATCTGGAAATTTCTATAAAGGTAGTGATGTATCTACAGCCACTATAGACTAACCAACATAGGTTCCATTAACTTTTGCATTCTTGTTATCTTGTAATCTTCTTGCACTTACTATGTAACTACAGTTGTGAATCGCTTTTTTGTCAAAAAGATTGCAACTTATCTTACATTGCAATTAACTCATTTTAATGCCATTGCCAACCAAATGGATTAAATCAGGACAGCAGAGACTACTCCAAACTTGTCAATAACTAGAAAAAAAAACATTGCACCATACCTTAAGGATTAACTGTTTGACTGCTCACACGAATGGATGTTTGGACTGGAGATCGTATACTACTTTGCTTTACCAGCTTGCTCTGCAAGGAGGAATACCCATGTCAAACACGCAATCCATTTAAAACCAAAATCATCCACTGAATGAAGTAATGAAATGAAGTAAAACTAAACTCTCGAAATCGAGATCCCCAAAGAGAGCATCCCACGAAAAAAAAAGTAAAGATGAAATCAAAGTGGGAATTCAGGAGATATGTAACTCTGCCAAAAAAATCAGGGCTGCTTGCCGTCAAAGTCACCCACTGGGGTAAAATCAAACTATCAGTTCAAATGAAATCGAAATCCAGAGGAAAGGCGTCTTGGCAGGAAAAGAACTGGGGATTTTTCTTTTCTTTGAAACCTGACCAGGGGATTCAATATTCAACGGAATAAAATTCCTTGGACTGGAACAGAAGCATCGATTGCACATCAAACGTCCAACGAAATCAAACAGACAAAGTAAAGAGAAGAGAGGGAAATCAAATCCCCCAAACTAGGGCAAACCCACTCAAATTACTCACTCCGCCGCTGCCGAGGACGTCGGGTTGGGGGCGAGATTAGAGCGAGAGAGCGAATGAGGCGAATAGGGTTAGAGGCAAGGAGCGAGAGGCGATAGCTACAAGATCCATCTCCCCCACTCCCTTCCGGCTTACCTCAAAGAAGAAGAAACAGTCGGCGGAGGCAGGAACTGAGGAGCGACGCCGTCAAGCCCCGGGCAGCACCACGGCGGCGGCGGCCGCGGGGCTAGGCACCACGCGGCGCAGGGTTCTATCTGGGGTTTGGCCCCGCCGCCGCACCGTGAAAAAATCTTCCTGTGTGGCTTGTGGGGGAAGAGTTAGAAGAGGACCTGGGCCTGGGCCATAGATTGTGGGCCACTCTCTGGCTGAATAAGAATAAGTCTATTGTGCCTTCCTGATTTCATACCCTCGCTGAATCCCTCAACCGCAAAACCAGGTAAAACGCCTCCCTCAACTTTAAAGAGCGTTGACTTGCTTAGTCAGTTAGTGGGGCCCACCTATCAGTGAAATATGTATTCTTCCCCTCTATCCCCCTTCCTATTGCCTCATTTGACGATTGTGGCGGCGGCAGAGGAGAGGGCTCATGGGCCCATCGTCAGTGGTGGAGGCATGGTGGGCGAGGGAGGAGGAGGAGAAAAGCGTGAAGACACAGGAGGGGCGCGGAGAGTGCAAAGCGATGCAAAGGCATCGGGGAGGAGGCGGGCTGGCCGCCGAAAGCCAAATAGGACGATGATCTTGTTTGGATTCTCCGGGCTATTAAATAGCCCTCCAAAATCTTGCTATTTAGGAATATTAAACGTAGATTACTAACAAAACATATTTCATAACCCGTAGGCTATTTTGCAAGATGAATCTAACGAGGTATATTAATCCATGGTTAGCGGATAATTACTGTAGCATCACTGTAGCAAATCATGGATTAATATACCTCGTTAGATTCGTCTCGTAAAATAGCCCAGGGATTATGGAATAAATTTTGTCAGTAATCTACGTTTAATACTTTTAAATAGTAAGATTCTAGAGTGCTATTTAATAGCCCGGAGGATCCAAACAGGGCCGATGATAACCTGCGTGCTGATGATGCTTGGATCCGGCCCTAATAGCAGCGACTGCGACAGGGAAGGCTACTACAGCGAACTGGCGAAGGCAAGTGCGATGGCAGCGGCTATGGTGGGGGCGAGTGCAACGCGAGGAGACGGGGGCGGGAACCATTGTGCTCGTCTCCTACTAATGCACGAAACACACAGCAAGTACACGCACAGTGCATGTATCTGCATATATGACCCTTTTGAAACAAAGGATTGAAAACTATTGGATCTTATGAAACTCATAAGAAATTCTTAAGGAATGTCTCAATCCAAACAAGTTTTGGAGGATTTTTAACATGATGTCCAACTTCATGAAACGTTTCCTATGTGTTTATCTCTCTCATATAATTTCTATGTTTTTTCTGAGATTCAATCTAACAATCATTCCTATATTTTTCCTATAATAATCATATGTTTTTCCTATTTCTCTATTTTCTTAATCCTTTGATTCAAAGGAATGCTAAAAGGATATGGCAGGATTCAATCCTTTGTTTCAAAGATCCTCACTTAAAATTTTTCTATAGTTGAAATCTTTCAAAATTGCTATGTTTTTCCTCTAAATTAGGATCCTTACCATCCAAAAAAGACTAGAACTGAGGGTCTATTTATAAGAAAAGGTATTTACATTTGACTTTTTTTAGAAAGAAATTATAAATAGGTCCGTAGTGCCAATCTCTTTGACACAAATCCTTTTCACATAAGTGACTTAGCTACCACAGGACGAGAGTGCCAACGCCGATGTCTTTGGCGCTGAAACATTGAACCGTAATTTTGACATTTTGATATTTTTAACAAACTTATTCTATAAGTAGACCTTGCCAAAAACTATAACTTAAAAATAGGCCTTCACCTCAGCGCCATGGACCTTGGCGTTGAGGCCCAATATCATAACACCAAGCCCATTGATGCCGAGGCCATGAAACACTATGAAAAGAGTAATAGACCTATAAGCATATGATGCATTGTGTGGTTTTGTGGTGAATGGTGTTTTGATGTATCTTGGAGATCAGGGTTCAAACCTCAGCTGCTGCAATATTTACTCCCTTTTTCTTCTGTGCGAAAAAAAAACCGCAACGCTGATAGCGAATCTCTATCTCTACTATTATGAAAATTGATGTATTTGTCGGTACTTTGGTACGTCATCCGTGTATGAGTCGGCTTTTAATTTTGTTCGCTTTTAGAAATACATATCCGCATTTGAGTCGGTTTTTGAAATACATAAGAACTCATATAAGAAATCTCTTTAAAAAAAGAATACTCGCATGCTAATCGGAGATGATCGGACTACTAACTACAGCTCATTATTCTCTCTCTCTCACTCTCTCTCTATATATATATCATATAACAATAATAAGATTAACATAGCATTCACCAATTACAACGCACGGATTTTTTTCTAGTTATTAAAAAACGATAATTTGTGCATAAAACTGATTTAAAGCTAATATGAAAAAATAAATTACGTTAAAAATATCTTAAAATTAAGTTTTAAAATTTAAACTTTGGTTTTGGTTTTGGGTTATCCTTTTTAGGGTAACCGATGGGTCTCGTAGACATGTGGTGCTTTAGTATGAACAAGGAAGGGCCGGCACAGGTAATACAGCCCAATAAGATTGGAGGCCTAGGAACGCACGCACGAGGCTGTTTTTTTTTTTCCTCAACGGCGGCCGCGTGCATGCACGAAGAGGCAAGATGCATGATCGCTGTTAGACTAATACGCTGACGTGGCGGCCCTAATTTCTCAGCGATCCCACGGCTCTTAGATAAAAGAATATTCCATAAGGTATATGAATTTCTAAATTGGAGAAGAGGATATTTATAAAGATGCTTTTATTATGTAGCACCTTGCATGGAGATGCTATGAGAGGGCAACGCGGATTTTCTACATGCACTGACCCCAGTACTCCGGAAAGGAGAAATTCAATGTTTCGGACAATGGTATTTGTATCGGGCGTGGCTAATAGGCGGAGCGATCACCCCCCATCCCTCCTATATGCTCCTCCTCTCCCCTTTCCTCCTCCCCTTCTTCTCTTCCTATTACATCATAAATTTTTTAAAAAATAAAAAAACAAAGTTAAAAAAAATTATGTATAGAAATACTATATATAAAAAATATTTGATATTTGAATTCAAATTCAGATTTGAAATGGGTGTGTAAACTTTTGACTTATAAACTTTAGGTCTATAAACTAATATTTAAATTCAAATTCAAATTTGAAACATGTATGTAAACTTTTGACTTATAAACTCTGGGTCTATAAACTAATATTTAAATTCAAATTCAAATTTGAACGGGTATGCAAACTTTTGACTTATAAACTTTGGGTCTATAAATAATATTTGAATTCAAATTCAAATTTAAAACGGGTATGTAAAATTTTGACTTATAAACTTTGGGTCTACAAACTAATATTTGAATTCAAATTCAAATTTGAAACGGGTATGTAAAATTTTAACTTATAAACTTTAGGTTTTATAAATTTTAGGTGTATAAACTTTAGCATGTATAGAAATACTATATTAAAAAATATTTGAATTTAAATTTAAATTTAAATCGGATATATAGACTTTTGACTTATAAACCTTGGGTTTCTAAACATTTGATGTGTAAACTTTAGGGGTACAAATTTTAGGTGTATAAATTTACTAAAATAGAAAAATAATGCGGTGCCAAAAAAGAAAACCACGTTGAGGGAGGGGGGATCGGCTGATCGCTAGGGGCGATCAATCGCCCCTTAGCCTTTTGTATTTGTATCCATATCCTTTTCTTGAGCCCTGCATAATCTCTTCGTAAACTAGTTAGGGGTCCAGATCCCCTGGAGTTGGGGCCAACTCCACCGGTAGATTTGGCTCAATCTTAACCGTTCTTCTGACTTCTACGGCTGGGATCATGGCACCTACTCTTCTTCTAATCAACTATCTTAATCATATAGATTTAGAGGAAAATATTTAGTTTTTTAGTACTTCCCACCATAACCATGATTATTCTCCGGCCAATAATATCAATAAAACAACGCTGGCCATCACAAAACCATCATAAATAAACATTAGCATTATGTTCTTCACCATGGTTGGAGGTGGAGATGGTGGGTGGAATACCCTTAATCTTCAGTTTGACTGTTTGAGGCAAAGAAGAACAATATGCCAATATTATCACCATAGCTGAACTAAAATTCGATGACAAAGACAAAGCTGTCGTGGCTCTGGAGGGGAAACGATGGTCTGCTGCTTTGGTACTTGTAATTTAATTAGGAAAGGAAAGAAACACGGTTATAGAGATTAGAGAAAATCTCAGCTGTATAAGTCAAAAGGACGGTTGAGATTAGGCCAAATCCATCCGGTGGAGTTGGCCCCAACTCTAGGGGATCTGGACCCAAGCATCACCAGCAACAGCACTATTTCTTGCTCGTTTGATACGACGTTGTTCTTCCCCTAACCGATGTTCTATTATTCTCAGTTTTCTATTCGTGCTCCATGTATTTTATGGGCTGTTTAGATTGATGTCATTTTCAACCATACTATTTATTTTTGGCAAACTTGCCAAAAAAGTGTATATGTTTAGTTTGTTGCTAAATTTAGTAAATACATAAGAAATCATGTCAAAATTTTGACAATATTGCTTACTTGCCAAAATTTTAATATTGCTAAAATTTGGTAAAGTTTATTTTGGCTACAATCTAAATAGATCCTTAAATTATCTGGAATTAGTCTGGAATAGGACGTTTTCGCAACCTGGATAATGAAACTTGCTCTTCACTGAAGCAAAGCTCCCCTTTGTCCTCCTCGTAATTCATCAAGCGAACCTCTCTAATCTGTTGTGTGGTGGTATGCTCAGGGTACCCTGGGTATGCTCCGATGATGAAACTGCTCTGAAGGACGTAATGTCCTCATTAAAAAAAAAACTAGGTGTTCAGTGCAAAAGGCTAAAGTAACCAGACATTGGATTTTTTTTAAAAAAAAGAAGAGATTTTACCAAACCAAAATGGCATCAGATGAATACACAACAATGGAATTTCAAACATGTCACTATGGAATAAACAGGCAAGAAGATATTCAATTACATCAGGATAGGTGGATATGGTGACAGGGGCGGAGGCAAGATTTCACCGAGAGTAGGACCGAGCTATGCTGTTTCAAAATTTTCACTGAGTTTCTATCTAAATTTTGGTATTTTGTCATTGAAATTCTTTGCCACATTTGAGGCCCAAGCCCAAGCTGCCCCACACGTGGCTTCGCTCCTGTATGGTGATATGGTGAATCCTCAATTTGAAGGACCTCACAGAATCTCCGTCTCATCCAATTATGTTCATATACAAATTGATTACCTGCATTTGGACTAAACCAAGTATGTGCAGGCAGTGGCGGACCAGGATAAAAATATAGCTATGGCGTAGACAAACGAGTTGACTCAAAGCATTTCATTCCAATCGAAGAAAAAACGTAAAAATGCCCACATTGCAGTCACTAATCAAGTGGTTCGAGTCAACATCTATTATGGGAATGCAAACATGCAAAATATGAACACATCATATATAAGAAATTACCTTGCAGATGTGCTGGACAACACAGTTTGAGATTTTTAGTCCTAAAAAAAGAGAAAAATTGTAACAAGAACCTGTCAAATAAGCAAAGTAGATGGATTAGCACTTAGTACTTGATGTTTTTAAAAGAAAAGGAAATCAAAAGACTTACTAAAGCACTAGTTTTGGCTGTTTTTCCTAGGAGACTTAGGTAGTTGTATTCTGCTAGCTCTCATGTTTTGAAACCGCTTCTTGATGGCATTACTATCAAGTTTTCTGAACAGATCCCGCTCAATGTAGCACAATCACCGTCGCCCGCCGGCCGCCGCCAATGCCAAAAATCGAGCAGCAGGCAGCAGCCCTAGCAAGTTGATGGGGAATTGGGGATTAGGGAATTGTTAATGGAAAAATAAGAAGTGGGCTTTGGCATATAGGCCAGCCAACCGGTCACATTATCATGTACAGCCCATTATCTCTCACACCCCCATATCAGCCCACTAACACAGCAAAGGGAGCTGTTCGTCTTCTTCCTTGCGTGTCTACAGCCAACGACACAGCTGTCTGCTGCTCCATACGCTACTCACGATAAAAAAACACCTCTGGGAAGCTGGGGTGGGAGTATTCGCGACGAAGGTTACCTGTGGCATGCCATAGTGGTAGGTCCGCCCCTGTGTGCTGGTATTATTCAATGAGCCACCCATCCAGGTTGGGATTAACAAGTGATCGTGGAACCTCTGCTTTCCCGATCCATACGATGATGCTCTGAACTTATAAAAAGCATCAGGCTCCATGCTTGTTAAGCCCCACGCATCAATACATTGAAAACAATCCACTTCTGTAACTTGGTCTAGTTAAAAAAAAAAAGCAACGCTCAGTGATAAAAAAAATGGTGAAAACTGAAAAGTAAAAAAAATATAGAAAAAAAGTGAAATATGATTCGAACACACCACCTTTGGTTATAAAGGGAAGTAACTAACCACTAGGCTACTCAATTGAATTTGAAAAAACATTCATCCTCCGTAATTAATATGTACATACCTCAGCGCCTATAATCTTAACACTGAGGCCTACTTTTTTATTATAGTTTTTATCAAGCTTTATTTATAAAATAAGTTTTGTGAAAGGGTAAAAATGTCAAAATTTCGGAACATTGAACCCTGGCATCAATAAAACGTCTATTCACAGAAATAAGTTTTATAGATGTTTATTTTAAAAGTTTTTATAAAGGACTAAAATATAAAAATTTCTGGCGAAGCCGTCCCCAAGGACCCCCCAGCCAACGGCAGCAGCCACTAGCCCACTACTGCTCGCCCTCGGCGGCCGATCCGCTCCACACCAAATCACCGATGACCTCGTGGCCGCCGCCCGCCGCCGTGGCCTCCGATATGCAGCCGTGAAGATGCGATGCGTGCCTCGCCGGCGGCGGTCGGCACCGTCGAGTCGACGACAGTGAAGTCATGGCCGTAGCAGATAGGTGAACAAGAGCATGACTCGATCAATTGGAAGCTCACTGCCTACGGGAGATACAACGCGGCATCGGCTTATCAGCTGTTCTTCATGGCGCACACAAGATCCTACGGACCCATCGTTTCATTCGGTATATTTACAAATAAAAAGTAATTTGTGAATATACGCGTTATTACTGATCTAAAAGTAAAACTGATAAATAAAATTCTGGTGTGCTGAGCTGATCTGGCAGACACGAGCACCGTCAAGAATCAAATTCTTCATGTGGCTCAGGCTCACTACCAAGGGCCGCTGTCTCCCTGCCGATAACTTGCAAAAGAGAGGTTGGGAGCACAAGCCAACCTGCGTTCTCTACAACAGAGAACCGGAAACCTGTCAGCACCTGCTTCTAGCTTGCCCTTTGACGAACAGAGTTTGGCGCATGATCGAAGAGAGTGGATCTGAACGCCATTCCCGTTGCCAGAGGAAGGTGGAACTGAATTCGCGAACTGATGGTTACAGTCGCGAGGTGTTTTTCAGACGAGCTAAAAGATGCTTTGACTCCCTCCGCGTCTTGGTTTGTTTGCTTAGGCATGTTTAGTTACCAAAACAAAAATTTTCACGCTATCACATTAAATATTTAGACATGCATAGAGTATTAAATTTAGGAAAAAACCAATTACACATATTACGTGTAAATTGCGAGACAAATCTTTTAAGTTTAATTGCGCCATGATTTGACAATATGGTGCTAAAGTAAATATTTGCTAATGATAGATTAATTAGTCTTAATAAATTTGTCTCGTAGTTTTCTGGCGGAATCTGTAATTTGTTTTATTATTAGACTACGTTAATACTTTAAACATGTGTACGTATATTCGATGTGATAACTAAATCTAGAATTTTTTTTCAACTAAACAAGTCTTATATGGAAAGAACGAAATGCTAGCATATCCGAGCAAAAATCAAAGTCGGAGCAGGTTTGCAACGCGATCAGGGAAGAGATTCTGATGACCTGGAAAGAAGCGGGCATCTTTGAGAGAGTAGACTAGAGGGTTCTCCACCTGTCGGGCGGCTTACCCGTCCGGCAGTTTGTTTGTTTCCTCCTTCTCGACAGTTTAATGTCGATGTGGATTCCTATTGTTTGAGAGAACATCCTCTCATCATTTACATATCATCTAAATAGTTATTAAAATAATTTAAAAAATCGACAACATAGATTAATATGGAATATATCACTCCACAAATATGTAAAACCAAATTCAAATTCAACTTCTAAAAGTTGTAACAAAAAAAACAAATTAAACTGAAAATAGTTATTGTACTCGTAGCTATATTTGTTATTTTTATTACAACTTGTAGAAGTTGAATTTAAAATTATATGTTTGTGGAGTGATATATTTAATATTAAGCTATGTTGCCAAATGTTTTTTAATTATTTTAATAACTATTTAGGTGGTATGTACGAAACGAGAGAATATTTCTTTGAGGGATAAAATCACTTTCTCCTATTTGTAAAACTTGTAATACCCTCTTCCTCCTTAGTCCTTAATATACGTAGGGCAGCTAACGTTTGGCCGTCCCGGTAAAAAAAAAAAGTCATGGCCGTAGACAACGTGGCAACAGTCATACACTCATACTCATCGGCGGGGCGGCTGGCAAATTTGTTTCTTTCTTCTTCTTTTTTGACAGGGGAGGGGAGGGGAGGGGAGGGGGAAAGGAGGTTTTACATCAAGCGTCTCAGGTTATAATATATCAAATTACTTTAAGTTTAACTAAGTTTATAGAAAAAAATAGTAACATTTTTACCTAAGATAAATTTAGTATAAAAATATATTTAATTATTAATTTAATAAAACTAATTTACTAGTGTAAATATTATTATATTTATCTATAAATTTAGTTAAACTTAAAGCAGTTTAATTTTGACCAAAATCAAAAGATCTTATAACCTATAACTAAGGGAGTAAATTATAACGAGAGTACAAATTGGTTCTGCTTCTACAGACGGCTGGGATTACCAGCTATCCATACAGCCATACAACCCGGAACACTACCAGACATCCAAATAAGCATCAGACGAAAAGAACAGGACAGCTTCATCAACTCCAGATCTTCGCAACCAGCCAACTTTGGATCTTCTTCTGGTTTCTTCTCCCATAACGCCCTTCTTCCGGCTTGCTCCTCCTCGCGCAGAAACTGAAACCAGACAGAAAAACAAAGCCCTTGAATTAACCAGCTCGTTTTTGAGAACCCGATCATTACTTATGGGCAAAGTCTGATTCTGTTCTTTGTCAGGAGCACCTACATATTCTTGCAAAAAAAAAAAAACCTCCCAGAAGAAAGGGGTTCTTGATCATCATAGCACTTATCTAAACAATACCAAAATGCACTTGATAGTGTAATGGCAAAGGGCAAGAGGTGTATGGTTTCGACCCTGAGATCCTTGTTTAGTCCCAACACGCTCATAATTTCTTTTTTAAAAAATATTTGGAGAGACGTTTCTCTCTCCAAATCTTTTTTTTATCTAAACAACACCAAAGCAAAATGTGCAGGACTGTTTTACATACTCCACATACTTTGCAATTAGGACTTCCAGACCGGTTCATCTGTCTTAAGTTGTTTAGTAGCTTCGATTCTGCCTTTAAATACTAGCTAGCCACTGAAAATATTGATTTTAAAAGGCACAAAATATTTAATTAATTCTTCTGTCCTCGACACCTCTAAAAGACAGAGCTCTATATAACTGTATCTACTCTATAGTTTAACAAGTTGTTTTACTCATTCATCATTTATCATTCATCGTGTGACACATCAAACAATCGAAAATCATCTAACGCATGAGATCCGACGACAGTGCACGCACGCGGGATCACCCAGTACGAGATTGCGCACGCGGGGTCACCGGCCGAAAGTCACGCACGCCAGCAAATCAGTCGCCGCCCCTTTTCCTTCGCACGCCTCCCTCCGCAACCTTCATCCGCTCATCGCGGCGTACCCGTCCCGTCCGCCGCGAGTTCGCTTAGATCGGCGCTGGGTCGTCGCGTGGATCAAGCGCCTCCTCCGCGTCAACAAGACCGGGCACAGCGGCACGCTCGATCCCAAGGTCACCGGCAACCTCATCGTCTGCGTCGACCGCGCCACCCGCCTCGTCAAGTCGCAGCAGGGCGCCGGCAAGGAGTACGTCTGCGTCGCGCGCTTCCACGCCGCCGACACCGCCCGCGCGCTCGAGGCGCTCACAGGCGCCATGTTCCAGCGCCTCCCGCTCATCTCCGCCGTGAAGCGGCAGCTCAGGGTGAGGACTATCTATGAGAGCAAGCTGCTCGAGCACGATGCCGAGCGACACCTTGCCGTGTTCTGGATCTCCTGCGAGGCCGGGACGTATGTCAGGACGCTCTGTGTCCACCTTGGCCTGTTGCTCGGTGTCGGCGCGCATATGCAGGAGCTGCACCGCGTGCGATCAGGGATCCACGGGGAGCAGGATAACATGGTCACAATGCACGATGTCATGGATGCGAGGTGAGCCATGTATTGCTGTTCCTGTTTTCAGTTAATGCAATGAGTTTTGCTTGCACCTCACAGTAATGCAATGGGTCATGTTTACTGTATCTTTATGATATTGGCGGCCATACCATTCTGTGATCCATACGTTGATGTTCTTGGCTGTTGAATAGTAGGTAGTGGGTACCAATTCTTAGTTGAAATTGTTAAATTTCTGTTTCCCTGTAGGCAGGAGTTTACTTCTGAGATCCCTGATGCTCTGAATAAACTTAACACATACTTTGCCTTAAACCCAAGGCAAACAATTGGTCCATAGCGTCTTGTGTTTTTCTTTGCTAGAAGCCTTAGATGATCTGATCATGGTGTTGTGGTATTTGCTGACAAGCCACAACTCTCTGAATGCTATCTATTTCTTCCCCTTGAAACACCGATACATAATTCAAGGGTGTATCCATGGGTGTAAAGTTTTGCTGTGTCACATCGGATATTATAGGGTATCACATGTGGGTGTTCGGGCACTAATAAAAAAATAATTACAGAATCCGTAAGTAAACCGTGAGACAAATTTATTAAGCCCAATTAATCCGTCATTAGCAAATGTTTACTGTAGCACTACATTATTAAATCATGGAGCAATTAGGCTTAAAAAATTCGTCTCGTAAAATAGTCGCAATATGTGCAATTAGTTTTAGCCTATATTTAATACTTTATGCATGTGTTCAAACGCTCGATGTGATAGGGTGTAAAATTTCGAGGTGAGATCTAAATAGGCCTTCAGTTAGTGCAGTGAGTTTTGCTTACACCTTACATTGCTTTACTGTTTGATAATGGTGACCAAATGACTATATCAATCATTCCATCAGCCAATGTTCTTGACACTTGAATACTCATAGGTATCAATTTATTACCTTAATAAAGTAATAGAAAAAGGAGCTACCACGTTCGCTCCCAAGGTCTAGAAATTACCACGTTAATCGAAGAAAATAAGAAAAATAAAAAAGACAAGCGGAGAAGGATATGTTAATCGAATGAAAATATGAAAAGAAGTAGTAAAGCAATCGGACACCGATTCATGGAAACTGTCAAAGTGCCAAACATCAATAAGAAACAGACTTAGTGTGTGGAAACGGAAATACAACTATACAAGTATAAAAACAGACTCCGGTCACAATGCATTAATATCGTTTAGAGTCCAAAAGTAAAAAAAAAAAACCTGAAATTCAAAATATAACTAACTATTGCAAGATGAATCTATGTATAAATACAATTCAGACTAATCTGAAATTACAATTATTTTTTTAGAAAATCTAATATTGAGACCAAAGGTATATAGAATTTAACTTGAAAAGGAGTCCATATAAAAATATAATTTAAAAATAACTGAAATTCCTAATTAAAAAAATAAAATATTCAAAAATAAGACTAGACTCCATACATGTATACAATGTAGAACTAATTAAAATTTAGAACTAAAGTTAGAGTCCATAAAAAATAAAATTTAGAAATAACTAATATTCGGAATTAAAAAATAAAAATATTAAAATAATATTTTAGAGTCATTATAGAAATATAATTTACAAATATTGGAAGAGTACTCTAGAGTTTATATAGGAATACAATTTAAAAATAATTGAAATTCAGAATTAAAAATAAGAAATACTTATTGAAAGAAAGGTTTAGAGTCCATATGGGAATAAATTTTTTAAATAATAGAACATTTAAATTAGAAAAGAAGAAATATTGGAAGAGGAGTCTAGAGTACATACAGAAATCCAATTTAGAAATAACAAAAATTTAAAATTTAAAAGTAGTTAGTAACTATCATGTATATAATACAATATGAATATTACATGTGATATACAATACAATATGAATATTACATGTGATATACAATACAATATGAATATTACATATTGGTTGGTGCGGCTAAGTTAGTACAAAATTTAAAATTATGTTGCTATTTTAATATATGATAATTATATTCTGTGAAAATATATATGTTACTATGTGAAAAAAAAATATAACCATACTAGTTCTTAGTCAAATTGGTATATTTCTATTTCCTCGCAAGCGGGAGTTTTATTTCTGAGATACTGATGCTCTGAAGTCTGGATGAACAACGCAGGCCATTGGTCCAAAGTGTCTTGTGTATTTTTTTGTGCTGGAAGACTAGATGACCTTATTATGGTGTTATTTGTATTTGCTGGCTGCCGTTATTCCGTACTTTTGGCAAAATCCATGAAACTTACAAGCCTCGATCCTTGGCTCCTATTTTTTTTTCTCAGTTGCATCGGGGATCAGGAAAAGCATCCGATTGATGCTCATCTTTTGTTAGTTTATTTCTCTTGTTATTATGTTCCTCTTTCTTGCTAAATGAGCCGCTTTTCTACAATATACTGCATATCTGAAATTGAGATTTCTTTGCTGCATATCTGAATGTGATGGATGAATTGCGTGTTTCTGATACTGCTAATAAGCAATTTTAGATAATGGATCGCCCACGTTTTCTCAATGTTTTCACCTGAACATGATATGTTCTATTTTTTTAGTTTTACTTGTCAAAACTGAAAATGAGGTCTCAAGACTGAGCAGGTAAGAGAATATGTATATCGTACAAGAAGATATGGGTTTGTTGGTTGATTAGTTCTACTTTTTTTTTCCCTATTTTTATCAAACGTTTGAATATTTTCTCTGGAATTTTTTTCGTTTACTTTCGGTTGACATTTACCACATGGGTTATGGCGGCAATCACAGAATGTTGCTGTAGTCTGTAGAGTTCTTGGTTGCTAGCCGACAAGAAGGATTTGTTCCTCTGTATTTTGTTAGGTGTCACTGAAATGGAGTTTTTAAGAACACTGCTGGTCCTTTTCTTATCTGATGATATGTGAGGATGAAGAAAACTCTTGTCTATAGCAATGGTTGATGACCAGTGATTAGGATCAAACTATTCCAGAACCCATTTTGTAATTAAGTTTAGTACAAATCACAAAAGTAAAGCAAGAGGTTATGTCTGTTGTGGAATAATTTGTTTCCATTGCAGGATCAACCTACATTACCATGAATGATAGTAGTCTGATTGTTCAATATGGCAGAATATGTATAATTGAAAATTACTGAAAATAGGTGCAGTGAAGTACCTACATTGTAATTTGCCTTAATTATATGGCATAATTTGAATTAAAAATCCCATTAAACTGATTATTTTTTCTAACACAAAATTTTAGTCATTTATTAAAAAAAATTAAGGATCGTAGTGTTAGCACGGATATATTACTAGTATGGATCTGGTTGTGAATCTCCCATTTGGATTCATTTTCCGAGTCATCACATCTTTATGTGCGGTCAGCTAGCTCCACTCCCAATTTCCCCCGTAAATCATTCCACAGTTCTAATTGTTGATTAAGGCTGTGTTCGTTATCTCTGTTCCCAACTAAAACAGTACGCATGAAAAACGGAGCGATCCATTAGCGCGTGATTAATTAAGTATTAGCTAATTTTTTTTAAAAAATAGATTAATTTGATTGTTTTAAACAACTTTCGTATAGAAACTTTTTGTAAAAAAATACACCATTTAACAGTTTAAAAAACGTGTGCGCGGAACACACGAGGGCGAGAGGTTGGTAACTTGAGCAAAGAACACAGCTAACTAGAGTTATTTTCGTAAGCTTCTTGATTATTTCGTTCAAATAGCTACGTTTGCTCGATGAACTGAGTCATGTTGAAGCTTTGCATCTGCAAATATAATGTTCAGTATGGTTACATCGAACTTATAAATGAGTACGTTGTCACGCATGTCCGGAGGCAGAAGAGCAAGCAGTTGAGTGATTTGAGTCGCATCGGAACCGGTTAATTAATTGTCTGATCGGTGCAGCTTGCTGTGCCATCACATTTTGCTATGTGAATGGACCAAAAAAACCAAATTCCTCGAAACAATTTCCGTTCAAAAAAAATTTTCCTCGAAACAATCAGCAGGTCACTTGTCGTTTGCGAAAGTCATTGTAATATTGTTAAAGGTTTTGTTATACTCCCTCCGAGATTTATATTATAAGTCATTTGACTCTTTTCTAATCAAACTTTGTTAAATTTAATCAAATTTATAGAACAATTTAGCAATATATAAAATGTTAAATTAATTTCATTAAATATAACATTGAATATATTTTAATAATATATTTGTTTTATGTCAAAAATACTATTATACTTTTTATAAACTTATATTTGTTTTATGTTTGTTTTATGTCATTAAATACTATTATTTCATTAAATTTATATTTGTTTTATGTCTCGTGCGAGTTTTTTTAACGACTCGCACGAGACGGTGCGAAGTTCTATTGATAGAGCAGGAAAAAATTACAAGATTATAACCCTGGAGAGTTGTAACCAGGAAAAAGAAAAAAAAAACCACCACCCACACACCGACATCGCCAACACACAAGCCCAGGAAAAGGCTAGCACCGGACCGGCCGCCGCTAAGCGTGACCGGCCGCCACTAGACCAATAAAGGGACACAGCCGAGATCGCTCCTTAGGGGATGCCAAAACGACGTCTTCAAGAAGAGAAGCGACGGAAAAACCGCCATCGCAGTCCGTCGGGACTCAAAGGAGCCAAGACTGGGCTTTTGCTCGGCAATCACCCTTGAGGGGTGAGACCCACGGCTGACACACCGATGCTCCACCACCACACAAGCTCTGCCGACATGTGAGACCCCTGCATCGGCGTCCCCCGCCGGCCAGCTTTCGTGCGCCGAAGACCGTGCGACACCCACCGGCAGCTCCTCCTCACACCTAGGTCGCCTCCTCCACCGCCGGCCGCGCCTCTCGCGCCAATCCGGCCTCCTCCACCGGACGCGCCTCTTGCGCCAATCCGGCCTCCCTCCATCGGCTGCGGCTCTCGCGCCAAGCCGGCCTCCAACTCCGCCGCCCGCGCCTCTCGCGTCGAGCCGGCCTCCACTGCCATCGACTGCGCCTCTCTGCGCCAAGCCGGTCTCCGACCCTTCTACCAAACGATGCCGCGCTGGCCAAATGCAGCCGTCTCCCACGCCCTCGGCTAGCCGTCAAGGGCCGCCATGCCTCCGGTGACCGCTGTCGCGGCCACCAGCCAGCGCCTCCGCGAGCCGCCGCCACTGCCAGCGGCCTTTTCGTTGTCGCCCTCCGCCATGCTGCCGCCAATTCCTTCGCCGGCGTCGTTGGCCGACGCCGTCGCTGCCAATTGCCGCGACCACCTCGCTGCCGTCGCCAACTGCCGTCGCCAGCCGTCGCAAGTCGCCCGCTGTCGCCGACCACCATAGCCGGCCACCCTCCAGATCCAGCCGAGAGG